TCTGATTTTTACCATTAATTATCGAAAAAAAAGAAAAAAAAAAAAGGGCGGAAGTGGTGTAGTGGCAAGTGGCACGCTTACCACGCGAGCGGTCCGGGGATCAAATCCTGGGTCGTGAGTCGCCCGGGCCAACCAAGCCTTCCATCCCTCCGGGGTCGGTTAATTGGTACCAGACTTGTCTGGGAGGATAAAAACACTGACTTGTACATCGGCTGGCCCCCGCAAGTCATTGTATAGGCCACATCGCATTCAAACGCCACTACGAATGTACAAATGGAAGTAGAATGCGTGCCGCATCCCAAAAAGGGATTGATCAACGGCAAATGCTTTATCCTTTTTTATCCTGCGGAAAAAGTCGCGTTAGAGGGACGCAAATTGCGTCGAAGCGAACGTAAATAGGAGCTTTCGGGAAAATAGATGTCTATTTTTGATCAGGGCACTGAGATCCCATCTACAAGTTTAGAGAAAAAAATTTTCGTTTCGGATTCGAAAATTGTCCATCGATGGGTCAGTAGCTCATACATAGGCGCGTCCAGATGGTGAACTGAAAACGAGTTCCGAGATTGTTATCCTCCCAAGTAATAAGAACTTTCACTACTGAATGGACAATGGCAGAGACCCAATCTAGTAATGTACAACAGGACATGCATGATGCTTGAAGTTGGCATTCTTGTCTCCATCAAGACGTGATATTTTGGGTCCACGGCTCCTCCACTCGCAAGGCTTCATCTCGATAGCTGGAGCGATTTCGAGGACTGCGACGTGGTGTGAGTTGTTCTTCATGAAGCAAAGTTCGGATTCCGTGAATCATAGAGCATTCCGCTTCATTTCTTACCGCGCTCGTTTTCAAGTCACCCGCCGGCGTGCATGACTGCTCATGGTCACCACCTTCTCCGAAGTTAGGTCGAAATCTCGAGTTTTCCCGAAATTTGGCATACGGGCTAAATCAGGGTCTTTCACAAACATCAGTTTCGTTTTTGGCACCAGTATGGCACTGCGAACTTTTTCCGCCAATTTTTGCTGGGAAAATATGCAAAGGCTATTAGCACATTGACGACATTGAGACGCGGTTGCGCGTCTCACCCTTGTCATCCCTTTTTCTAGCGTATGCGGGGATTCTTCCCAATTTGCTTGTCTCTAGTTCATTATGAATTTCCGTCGCAAACTCCGCCCACTTTGGTGTACGCTCTACCCACCATAGCAGCTGTCCTCCCGTGCGTTGTCGGACTCGACCCTCTTTTTCCGGTCTCCTGGACTTCTCGGAACTAAATTATAAGTTTAGGGCAAACTCCGCCCACGTTGGTGCACGCCCTACCAATAGCAGTTGACCTCCTTCCGTTGACGAACTCAATTCACTTTTTCCCGGTCTCCAGGACTTCTTGGAACCGAGTTATGAATTTTCGTCGCAAACTCCGCCCACTTTGGTCATGCCCCGCCCACCGATGACAGTTGGCCTCCACTCCTCCACCCACCTCTATCCACCTTTTTCCGGCTCACTAAGACTTCTCCGGCCCGAATTATGAGGACTTGTAGAAAATGCTGTACACTTCAGAGCGCGCTCCGCCCATTGTGGGCGGGCCTCCGCCCACGTCATGTATGCTGGGAACACCTTAGACATTGCTCCCCTACACCAATTTGTTTTCTGCTCTGTAGGCTTTCTCCCAACCGAGTTATGAAATTTTTCATAAAGCACTGCTTTTTTGGAGAACGCCCCGCCCACCGGGGGTGGGTCTCCCTAATTCGATGTGACTTACCAATGCACACCTTTACCCACTTTTTGGCCCAGTTTCGAGGTTGTTTTGTCACTGAAATTGAAATCTTGGTCTCAGTACAGTTCATTTCGATGCACGCCACGCCCACTGTGGGCGGGGCTCCGCTTAGCTGATGTGTGTTTTGTACTTCGTGAGACCTTGCCCACCCATCCCACACTTGACCCGGTCCCTCCAGGCGGATCCCGAGGAGCTAGGGAATTTCGTGACAGACATACAGAACGACAGACAGACAGACAGACGACAGACAGAACGACAGACGAAGCGCTTTATAGTATGTGAGATTATTGCCGCTGGGACTATTTGGAGGGACTTTGGAAACTCCAACCTAAATGCAAAAATTTTGTCATCATGAGGGATTGAACCTTGGACCATTTCCTCACCTTTTTGGCCTTCGCGGGGCCGCTCAGCGAAAATGTACCTCGGTTTTATAGTCCACGTATGAGCTCTTATAAGGTTCAGGGCCGTTTTGAGAAACCTTCCACACCCTGAACGACCTCCCTTGTTAGCATAAATACAAATGCGAGTAGACGTGGCCTACAGGATCGTCCTTCATCAGCGCCTTTGCTGAATCGAGTAAATCTGCTGAATTGAGTAAATCCCTCACCCTTCAGACGCCTTTGTTCTTTCAGGTTGGGGTTTCAATTAAGTAAGTACCTCGTGAACTGCGGTTTTGACTTGAGAACTGTATATGTACGATTTATCTTCAACGATAACCCATAGCTTAAAACAGCTGCTCATTTCCAATCGAAGCTGGTTGCTTTTGTAGTTTAGTTCTCTTGTCGGGCAACATCTGCACCTCTCTGCGTAAGCCCTCCTCTAAGCATGCTGAATCTATGGCCTGTGACTGATGACTGGAATGCGCCATGTGCTCTACCTATCTTGATGAAACAGTCTCAACAGGGTCCATACATCCGATATAGAAAGAAGGTGAACGCTTTGAATACGCCCAATATTCGGTATCGCCATCTTGCTAGCCGTAGAGATCGCGTGCTTGGATGCGGATCCTTGCGCGATTGCGTGCAAATTGTCCCGCGTTTCAAAATTAATGCTTTCTCTTTTCGATTGGTTTCGCTTGCTTAACCCCTTCAATTATCGTATTTCTTTGTTTGTACTGATGCATATGTCCTGCTTATATCGGTGTATACGCGACTGCAGCCGCATTTCAATGAATTCAAGGTGTTCATAACATCGCCTACCGTAATGGGATGGCCACCACATGCCCACGTATCCTCTATAGGTGATGCCTGTCGGGTGAAGTACCTTATCAAGTGGAAGCGTGTGCCAAAAGTTAAACGTCGCATCGTCTGACATCACGAAATATCCTGAATTAGAGGAGCACTGTTTCAAAGATGGAGTTCACGAAGAAAAACGGACTGCTAAATCAAGGTAGATGTTGTCATTGATGCAGGGATGAAGAAAAAATAAAGAAAGACAATCTACGACCCGGAAAACGAGGACTCCATTTTGTCCTTTGATTTGCTCATTAGGGCTGTCTCATCTGTGTTGACCCCGTCAACGCTATCGCTCTCTTTGCCAAGCGGCTGGAGCCGGACGGCGAAGGGGGGCGAGCGATAGCGTTGTGGGGACGGCCGCCCAGTTCGTTAGGCATATCCTTCGATGCGAATTGCGTGTCGGACCGTACTCATAGGGGTCCGCCTGTCTTTCCACTAGGTAAGTTCTCTTGTTCGATCTCATCGTGGAATCCTTTTTTAACAAAAAATCGGCAAGGATGATTTTGGTGAAATCAGAGAAGGGAATAGTGAGAACTTTGTGGTACCTTTAACATCTAGTTGCAGTTCCTTTGCTCTCACTAGGCAATGATAGGCGAAATATCCTTTGTGCATCTCATACTCAGAGAGATTGATGTAGATGAATGGAGCAACTACGTCGGGGAATCCATCTGAATAAATCGTTCGCTTCATTTACATTGAACAACAGGCACATTTCGCGACAAAAGAACACGCGTAAAGGGATTCATGTGCAAAGGGTAGGAAATAATGCTCCGGTAGCGATAAAAGCCAAAAACAACCTGTGAATTTGTACGGGCTAATGGCACTGGGTGGATGGACGAGGGGCAGTGGCGGAAAAGATGGGTGATCACAAAGATGGGAGAGACACTTATACTAATAACACATTACGTATCGTTGAGATCAAAGCTTTGGTGATACTCTAAAGTGCAAAAGAATCCCCAGGGTTAGGGATCTCCACGAGCGGTCCACTCAAAGCAGCATTAATAGAACCGTTCCGAAAGGGTTAGAGAAAGGACGCAGTGGTGCGCTCAGTGCGTACGCAGTCGCCGAAAAAATAAGCCCGTCAAGAAACGCAAAAGTCTACTCTCTTTTCTCGCCATTGGTATTTACGCTCCATACAGGTGACAGCTAGAAGCGTATGTATGAACAGTTCACCGCTAATGTTGTGGCCACCATGCCAAACCAAGTTCAATCAAGTGCAACTTGCAACGCTGCTAACGTCTGCTCTTCCAATCACCAACCGAACCAGTGGGCGGATTGCTTCGGTGGAGCAGAGTGCTTTCAAAATTCTGCTCGGCATCTAACCCACCTTTCCTCGTGTAAGCGCCGCCACAGCTCACTTCCTAGGCAGTCAAGTAAATGCTTCGTGTGGCAACTTATATTCTCAGATGCGCTCCCTCTTTTACGTAATGCTTCCTTTAAGGGGATGCTCTACAAGTGCTAACCCGACACGGTGAAAATAATAGCGGCTGTTCGCGGATTTTCATTTCTTTATCAATAATATCGAAGAGGTTTAAAAAAGGATGATGCAATAAAAGTAAAAATGTCACTGCAATACACCTACGGCGGTGGCCATCAAAGGTTTAGTGACACGATAGGAACCATGTAGTCTTCTTTGTTACTCGCAAAACGCACCTTTAACATAGGGGATGGAGAGTGGATTTGATAGGATTATAAAACGTGCGCCTCACGACCGAAATGATCTGTTTATGCACAAGAGAAGGAATGCAAGGCACGAACTACCAGCAGTGAACTAGCAATGAAAGGGTCATCTGTTGAAAACGCCAAAATTGAAGAATATTCATACTTATGACGTCCTTATCTTGAAAAAAATGGCAAGCTCCTAACGCCCTCGTCCCGCAGCTTCGTCGAGAAAACTGGACAGCTGCGATTCGACGTGGACAGCATTTATCCACCACCGCGAAACATGATACACTGAACTAGAGAGTGGATGGGACTTTACCACCCATAAACAGCAATCCAGTTCTTCCCAATTAAATATCCATGAGCCGGTCTCTTGACCTGCGCATCCCAATAACTGTTGAATTTTCTTCTATCGGTGCTGTGCAAGATTTTTATGATGCGACCCAATCTTTTCTGTCAAACGTTATCCTGACACCGTCGCTCGTCAAGACCTCTCGTAACTAAGAAAAATTCTTGATTTTTTTTTGCTAGAAGGCTGCTAACTACTGTGGATACACAATTCTGTAATCACGCTGTTTGTCGCGAACTTAACAAGTAATCGGGATCCACTTAAAAACCGTCAACAGGAATAGGAACAAAAATAACTGTTTCCTCAATCTCATTTGCCTCGACAACTCGCACCGCAGCTGCGACTGGAATTGAATTTACTGTTGCTGCTTTGGTTTGACGCGTGTAGAAGTGCTGATTAATAGCTGAAAGATTACTATTAAATTTGTTGGCTCCACAGGAAGGAGTGATGGCAATAAGCTGAGCAAAAAAACGCAAATAAATCCGTCAAAAACGCGCAAAAGGCGGACATTCCTTTGCAGTTGATCTCTATTAATGAAATCGGCGACACTCCGGGGCATCGGGGGGGGGGACTGGGGTCGGGCGGTGGCAAACAACAAAGAGCGCCGTACAGGCACTCGTTAAAACCATAGACTACAAGTCATACATCACGATCATACCTTGATTGACAGCATTCCATGAGAAATATTACACCCTCGAAGTTGCCACACTTATCAAACTAATCGAACACATCGCTGAGGGCGGAACACGCGGTGGGCGGAGCTCAGAAAGGATTGACAGCCCCGCGGCGCTGCAACGAGCGCACCTTTAGTCGCGAAAAGGCCACATCTAGATTCCTTTGGGCTCTGGCTACTGCTTGAAGTGCTGCTCGTTCTTCCATAATGCACAGAAATTTTATCGTAATTTCTCGCTTTAACCTGTTATGCGAGACAAGCCGTGTGGACCGCCAATATGACATTAGTATCGAGCGCATTAAGCACTATGAGACATCAATTGTTCTTTGATGCTTAGCCCCTCGTATGTAGTATTACACACTGGCCAATCATAGTAATGAATAGCTTTGGATAGAAAGTTCCACAAAACACTGTAGTTTTGAAATATGGTTGATAGAGTCTCTGCAGTAGCCCGATTATAGGTCTCCATGGAAAGTTGCTGGTGATTATTAGCGCCTTCAACAACTTAAACCTATTGAAAGTGAAGGCTTCAGAGAATATAACAAATTTACCCTAGCAAAAAGCTCGTCCCACACGTCTTCTTTTCGGCGAATGACGGCAAGTTCGTCTGGCGATGGCAGCTTCACAGAATCTGCTTGAAACAACAGCTTTCAGACCATGAAACATGATTCTTCATCACTAGGAGGACTTTTGTTGGCTCGTCAGACAGACATGAGCCAACTACCCCATCCCCTGACTTTAAAAATCGAAGTTGGCCACCAACCAATGAACCCTTATTTCTCTACGAAGTTGGCGTCAGGTTTATCCAGGAGTGCACAATTTTGCAATAAACCTCATGTTGAATTCAGCAAATACATATGTCGCAAGTCATGCAGACGTACACTGCGACGCATAATTATTAGTTCCACCTACAAATTTCCCAAAAACTTGAATCTGGGGATGTTTTTGAAAAAGGCTCTACAGACAAATTGTGACACATATAAACGCGAATCTGAATATTAACACGGAAATCCAGTTTGAGAAAGCAACAATTTTTTATCCTCATTTTTTCGAAAATACCCGCTTTGCCTATGACGCAAAATCATAGTTCCACCTCATGTTTCTCCGCTGCATTTTGCTTTTACCCAATGAAATTATTACCCATTCAAGTTCCTTAGCTTATAGCAAAGGCAAAACCGCTGTCAGACTTCCGTAAAAGGAAAATCCTAGCAAAAGAGACGCAGGAATTGTCGAAGTGTCAGCTCACGCTGGAATTTGTCGGGGTGACTTCATAACGAACAAATTCCTCAAGGAAGAAAGTTTCGCCGAGTCGACGGAAGCGGTGATATTCTTTCATTTGTGATTTTTGATTTGCGTCTTTCTTTCTCTTAACGTTTTTCTTTCTCAGATCGGTTTTCTACTTCGTAGCAAACATGTATGGAGAAGAAAATGATCAGGAGGATGGTCAGAGGTTCCAAAATATCACAGATAAAAAAGTGTCCTCACTTGCTCTACTTCGCAAAACTTTTTGAGAAAAATGGCTCGTTTTTCTCTCTGATTTCTTTTCACAAAAAGCGTATTTCTTATCTTCCAGACATGGACTGTCACGAGCGTGTTGTAAAACACGTGAAACTGCTTCCATTGAGACACTAACTTTTGAAGAAGTTTTGATTTCCGTACCCGGCTGGATAAAGTCGTATTATTTTCTCACGATACGGCGCTTATCTCGGTCGGATAGTAATCAGGGTTCCTCCCAGTCATATCCTGTAGCATCCTTGAGAAATTTGTTCGTTATGAAGTCACCCCGACAAATTCCAGCGAGCTGACTTCGACAATTCCTGCGTCTCTTTTGCTAAGATTTTCCTTTTACGGAAGTCTGACAGTATATACTAATGGAGCCTTTATAAATCTTGTCCAAAAGGCGACGCAATCAAGAAAGGCTCACTATGACTAACATTCTGCCTCTACACTTCATTAATATTTCCCTTTTTGTATCGCAAGGTGCTATAATGCTGAACAGAAAATAACATAACGTAGTAATAGCTTACTTGAGTAATTTGTACTTGCGGCACACCACTCTTCCACATCTTTGAAAAGCGAGAGCTGTTTCTGTGCCAAGGTCTAAGAATGATTTTTTCGGCGACAACTAGTACGTGTCAATGAAAATGAGGCAGCCTTACATGGTATTCTTCATTATCGATGAACTTGTGGAGTGCCAATTCCTCAAGCTTCTCGTCTCCTTCAGCTCAAAAATATTTGAAAAATAAACAAGTCCCACGACTTCCCAACTCTTGAATTTCATAGATCAACCTACGAGTTTGAATTTTATTTTGACGTTTTGGTTAAAGATGGATTTCTATAACGTTCAGGATTGCCCGTCTATGCTTGCACAGCCCAACATCGATTTCCACTCAATTCTCCATTGTCTCCATACTGTAAGCTTCGCTCGGAGGGAGTCGGACTGGTTTGGTTAGGGTTTAGATTATTGCCGGGCTCACCAACATGGCTGTCTCAGCTCTGAATACAGCCAGTACCTCTACAGTGGAGAGGATCACGGCGTACCGGTTAGTGGAATAGTTTCATTATGCTCTTGTTTTTTGTGCAAAGAGGTTTAACTATTGCGTACGGTGAGATGGGCAGGGTAAAACAATTCAAGGTTTCCATGATGAACGGTGCCTTAATACCACATTCGTGTAGCATAAAATAATGGAATATTTATATTCGTCGCGCGCAACACGCGGCGTGGAGTATAAACTGGCAGCGGTCACACATTGAAAAACGCCGCTGTACGAAGGCGAAGGTCGAGCACAACTTCACGGAAAAAGTTCATCTCATTATACGGTGACTATGGTGCATCAGCTGTTGAAGCCTGTATACGCTTACACAAAACCTAGCATTTGAAACTTCGATCCCCTACTCTGCGATCGCTGCCCGATCCACCCATTGATCCAGATCGTGTCGTAGGTTACCCCCAGAGGCCCGTCGCGCGGCAAGAAATGCCGAGTCAGCGGACGAGTTGCGCGTATTAGGGAAATCGCGTCAAGTTAAATAGAATGTCCCATTGCACGTCCTTCATCGCACATCACGCGCCGCGACTCGTCCGCCGACTCGGCCTTCTTGCCGCGCGATGGGCCTCCTGGGGGGTACCCGAATTATTCCGTTCGTTATTGTGGGATGCAAGATGGATCTCTTTACCGACTTCTTCGCGTTGCGCAACCCATTAATTTATCTTTCGATGATTTACTTTCAAGCTCTAAGCCGCGCGTGGAGAAGAGGGTGTGTCTTTTTTTCATTTGGACGGTTCCTAACTCTTCGTTCTCTGCAGCAGGGCACCTCGCCATCCCCAACTATTCATGAGAGATTGTCACATGATTTGATCCTGATCCTTGGTTTTGAGAAATCGAAGATCGAAGTACTGTATACCTTGACAAGAACAGCAGTGGGATATAATGGGTACAACCAAATAATTAGTGGGTAAATTATAGGCATTTAACGTAATACATAATAGAGACTAACTTTTTCAACAGAACGAGGCGATATCCTGTGTCCAGCTCAACGTTTCTATCAAATATATTCAAATAGCCAATACTGTAGAGATACAATACACTTAAGAAGAAGAATAAGCACGGGTATGGCGAAACCCGTATTGGGATCATCTGAAATTTCCACTTAGAAAAACATTTGATTTGTCGTGTGCATTCAGTTGACAAATGGACATGGCTGGAGAAATTTTTTTAACCCATTCGGGATAATAACAGCCACCGGTGGCTGACGCGAAGATGTCCACTTCGGACCATGTCAGCCACCGGTGGCTGACGGGCTTTAAATGGAATTTTTGAAAACAAAAGGAGGTCTTTGGGAGATTTTCTTTGCTGTGAAGAATCTTCATACCCTCATCTATCTAGGCCACCCCTGGGCAGAGGAAATCTCTATCCACTAGAATTTTATTGAAGAAAAAATATCCTGACTTCAAAATTTCACCGAAAAAGTTGAAAATTTTTTCCGCTGAAACTTCTTCCCATGGGTTATCGAGGGTCCTGATCACGAAATATGAGATCTGGCGATGGCTCCAAATTGGCGCCATTTGGCGCTAGATGGCGCCTTGACTGAAGCAAGTAAAACCAAATAAAAAGACGCAGCAGCCAATATCAAAATGCGGAAAATCTCAGCAAGGACCCGCACCCAAACACGCAAGTTGTACGGCTGCAAATGGGAGTCGCAAGTAAGCCGCCCGGTCGTCCCGCCTACTTCGAGAGTGTCCGACTCCCTCCTCCTAACGGCTATCGAAGGTGAGTTGTTATTTCAGTGACACCTCATAGGTGCTTCAATAGGGCTAGTGCATATTTCCACCCCATTAGAATCGAATCCTCAAGATCCTGCTGACGATGAGAATGCTGCTTTAAAGGCAAAGTTCGGGCTTAGACCAGGGTCAACCGTCCGTTGGACAAAGTCCAACGCGACGACGAGAGTAATGCCGAGAGTGAACGTACGCACGGAGACACAGACGGCTCGCGGGTGGCGAGAGTGAATGCCGGCGCGGAGAGCGGTGAACATCGGTCCAACGTCGCTCCAATATCGGTCCAACGTAACGGTTGACCCTGGCTCAGACCCACTCAATAAGCCCTTATAGTGGCTAGAAGTGCGTGGGACGCAACTGCAGAGACTCGCCACGTTCCCGCATCGAAATGCGTCACTAGGGCTAAGGACTTTGACACGCTCCACCTGTTGCGACACGCTCCGCCCACCGCTCGATATCTTGTCTGCGTCGCTTTGATCTGCTATGCTCTCTCTACTCGGACTTCTCTACCGCTCTCCGCGCTCACATTATCTCTCATCTCCCTGCCGGCCTTTTGAACTTCTCCGCAGCGTAGAGCAAAAGGCTCGTATTTCCTGTGTATTTCACGAATTTTTTTCCTTTTTCTCCACTGGCGGTCCACTTCCACCCCTACTTCACATTTGAGTAGAATTACCCCATCAATTTAATCCTGAATCTTGCCTTTAAGCAACAGGAATTGGAGATTGAGATTGTCGTTTCAATGAGTGCCACCCGTGGTTACGTGGATGGAGGCCCATTCAAGTGATATGGTGGATTCGCTTTTGTACGATTTAGCATGAACGTCCAATTTCCGTCTTTGACTTGTAGCCTGTCAAAAATTAGAAGTCGAGCGAGCTTTGCAAAATTCTATATGTAACTGCTAAGATCATCCTGGGAAACTATTCACTACCCAGTACTTTAATTCAGGATTTAAGTAAGTAGTAGTACGGTGTAGTGGTTGAGTTTGTCTTCATGGTGGCGGTGTCCGTTCCTCCAAGTGGTGCCACTGGAACTGCTCACTTTTGTGAGCTGAGCTGACCACGGACATTCGAATGCAGGCGACAGGCCCCCGTGACAGGCCGGCCTACGAACACCCACGTCACATCACAAATGTCAATGTCGCTATATGAATATCGAGATAATGCTACGGCGTCCGCGGGAGCCGACGCGCACTCGCAAAGCCCGGCGAGTGTGAAAAGTATGCGAGGGTCTCCGGTGCAAGGACGGCATCGGGGGGCAACTAGGCTAGTCCAAAAGTCCTGCAACGTATGGAAGACCTCGCGTTGAAAATGTTGGCACGCTGATGGGCGGCTCGCAGACGAATTGATTTCTGTGCTC